CCTTGGAGATGCTCTTAATGAGCGAAGAGATCATATATGTGTGACTTTTGATTCCGGTTTTCGTTTGGACACGAAATTTGAGCTCCCACAATTTCCATTATATTTTGTAAGAGCACTTCCACCAAAGGGCCCAAGGGGAGGGTTGGGGGGGGGCAAACCCAAAATGTGGTTTCCAGCAACAACAAGCTGCCAGGGCAAACAGTGGGGCCCACAAACCTGGGCAAGCCCGAGGGGAAGGCTGGCCCGAGCTCCAGCCCGTGGGCTGGGATGACGTCAGCGTAGCTGTTAAATTTTTTTAAAGCTGGCGCGTGCAATACACGCGCCCGGTTTAAAAAAAATTTGACGCGCGCTACAGTAGCCGCACCAACGGCTTGAATCCACGCGTCGCATGCTGGGCCATCCGATCTGCTTTTCAAACTTATCCAACGGCAGCCATTTTTTCGCGAATAAAAAAATCCGAAAAGCAACCCCCAACGGCTCTATGCCACGTGGAAGCTCCTGGGCTCTCCGATTGGTTTTTTCCAGCAATCCAACGGCAGGGAATTTTTTGCCCAGTAAAAAATTGAAAAAAAAATCGGAAAAATTTTAAAAAAATACGAAAAAAATACTGAATTTTTTTTTCTATAAATACCAACCAATACTCTTCACTTTTAACACCAACAACCATTATTTTTGTAATAAAAAATTGAAAAAAAATACCAAAAAATTACTTATTTTTTTTTCTCTCTATACCTTATTTCCATTTTCAACATTTAAGTAAATGTCTTTGTCCTTTTACTTTTATTTATTTTTATATTACTCCATTTACTTAAGTTTATAATGTAAATAAGGAAGTACCCCCCATTTGGATTCAAATAAAAATACTAGAAAATCAAATTCCCACCAAATCAAAATATGAAAAATCGTTTTTAGTGCAAAATACGATTTAGGCTAAAAATGATGGCTCATTAAGTCAATATATACTTCATATTAAAATCCCATAAAATCAAGTTTTCTTATTTGATGTGTAAGGAATAAAAGCCGCCAAAAATTTTCTTGAGAAAATGATTATTTTGAAAAACCATTTTTCATACTTAGTCAATATTGCACCTCCGCTAAAAATCTTGAGAAAATGATTTTTCATACGTAGGAACCCACAAATCTTATCCGAAAATATTATACAAATTAATTGTTGAAGTAAACAAAGTTGTGAAAAAAACAAAAAAAATGAATAGTATTTGCCCTGGCAAGCCTTGCATTGCTGGAAACACAAATTTTTTTTTGCCCTAGAGCAGCCACTATTCACGTGAATAGTACCCGCCCTAAGGCTCCCCTTGCCATGGCAAGGGGCTAACTGGTGGAAGTGCTCTAAGGGGCGAGCTAGGGCTAGGTTTTAAAGGTTAATGTTAAACGAGGGTTTTCTCGGCAATGCAACAGAGTACTTTAGGAGTGAATTACTGGGATTAATTAAGCATGAAAGCGATGAGAAGACAGCCAGCTGACAAAAGCAGTGAATTTTTGGAAGTGTGAGCAGTCGTCTCCTTGTGGGCTGACTTTTCCTGCTCACCCATAATCATAATCTAATCATTTTTTGCTTTCCAAGATTGTTTAGTATTTGATTTTTGGAGTTTTCTTGTTGAACTTTGGTGTCCTCAGAATATTCTCTCCTCCTCCAACACTCCCCCCCCTAAAGGCTTCAACTTTCAAGGCCCGCCCCCTTAGCTATAAGATTCCTATATAATTATTAATATATGCAATATGCAATATAATTATTAATACGTGCTCTTTCTCTCTCTCTCTCTCTCTCTCTCTCTTCCTGCATTAGTTATTACTTGATTAAGTTTTATGTTAATCAATTTGTAGTCTTAGGGACGAAACAAATACATCAGACAAATATAATTCTCTCTTATGAGTTAGGAACCATGCATATAGATATTTGAATACAAGGGTTTGGGAAAAAGCAAAATGTTGTCTCCACGGGTATGTTTGTTTCCTGGCTTGTCTTATAACCTTGAAAATGAACAAGACTGCATTATTATTGTTGTTGTAAACCTTGTTTGATCAATTTCATTCAATTCAAACCAGCTTTTGAAAGTATTCTCTGATTTCAAGGCATGGACATGTCCCCAACTTTGAACCAAACATCCAACGAAACCTTATTCATGTGAGATTACAGTACACCTAATTTATTAATTTTATATATGATGCGACGGAATGCTTTATACATACAAAACAAAAATAAATAGGATGAAATTTATGTTATCTATGTACATGTATAATTGAAAATTGCACTCTTTGAAACCCTAGGGTGCAAGAAGAAAAAGAAGACCCTAGGGTTTGTTTTTGTAGTAAGAATTCGTAGAGAAGCAGGTGAATATTAACAATTAGTAATTGTTGTAGGTTTAGAAGCATCAAGTAATTGCAAGTTCAAGAATTAACTTCAATGGAAATGGTGCAGAGGGAGAATGCTTTTCACATTTGAACGGAGTTCCAAAAAAATGGAGACCAGATTTGGATCTAAGGAATCCATATTGCAGAGACTCACATGCTTTCGCTTATAAAAAGTTGGAGAATATAAACTTTTTGCAAACCCACCTATTTCATTTTTATTTTTCTCCTTTTTTTCTTTAATTTATTACTAACCCCTCACGCATGTTCCAATTGGTTTTCTTTTTTCTTTTTTCTTTTTTCTTTTATTTTTAGAATTAAGAAAAGATAACATAGGTAGTTATGTTCCATAAAAGTAGGGCTTCGTATCTGATTTTGTTTTTAATTTTAATTTTTTTTAATATGAAAAAATGTGAATTTACCATATTATCCTCATTTAATTAATAATTTCAATTCTTAATGTTTGAATTAACTAAGGGCATTTTCTAGTATTTTGAATGTTTCATCATTCTCTGCCTTTTATTTTATATATATAGATAATATGTATCACACAAACTTATTACACCATTTTGGAGACACCACAAGCCCATGTGGCATTGTCTCAGTTATTCTACATTTGCACTCAATCTCAACCTTATATGTGCACATCAAATAAAATACTAACACATCAGTTGGTAATCAAAAGTCGGCAATCTTCTTTAGTCTAGAATTATTTCATGGTACCAAGGAACTTTTATATTTTATAATTTGATTATATAATGAGATTTCATGCCCTCAATTAGTTGTATAAAGATTTGAGCTACTTCAGGCCCTTAATTGATTAAGCACAACAAGTGATAATTTACTATCACAAATAGCATATATCTTATCATATGCATTTCAATCTGGGAGTCGCACACCAATTGTAAAATCTTGCAGCAACTCTACAGCAAACTGATTTAGAGCTAATAATTACATGTTTTATGGTGCTCGTTGAGTGAGATTATTTTAAAATAATAAAATAAGCATCATTACAAAATAAGGAAAAGCTTTGCCACTAAATTTCAATACCTCCCTTAATCAGTATTGATCAAGAAAAGCCAATTAAGTATGATTATATAATTCATTATCTTTGCATGAGAAGACTATATATATTTATAGTCCCTTTCCATTGAGAGATTCCTTAAATAATTTTATTTCAGGGACACCTTTTAGGGCCCCCTACGAAATTTTTTTCAACAATTCAAACCATTTATTTTTCACATCTTCATTCAAAGATCATCCTTGTAAAAAAATCATGCAAATTGAAAATTATTAAGGCATCTAATTGAGATCAACAAAATCAATAAACACGGTGCTTCAAGAAAGTACTTAAATTTCAATAATTTAATTGAGTGGTAAAATGATATTGGATTCAAGTGATTTTTGTAGAAATATCTACAAAATATACGGTTTGGATTAGTGAAATAAAACACGAAGTAAGCCCTATAAAGATGTCCCTCAAATAAGTGAGGATCCTCAATGGAATGTATGTGTGTGAAACTAAGTCAAGAATTTCAAATTGTTAACTAAATTATAAAAAAAATATGTTCACTAATTGAGAAGAGTCAAATTGTTGTATTGTGGTGTATTGGACTATGGACATGCTGTAAGCTAGCTGCTACCAACAAAATGATCATGTAATAATGCAATGACATAAAAGATCGAAGATTCTCTTTTTGCCTTAGAAAGCAAACCTAAAAGCGCACTCATTCTCTTTCTTTCTTATAAAGGCTAATTAGCTAGCTACTATCTTTTCTTAGGAAGGGAAATGGGACCATCTGTTCTATGTGAGAGAGAGAGAGAGAGAGAGAGAGATAGAGAGAGAATGCCCAACACAAAGATTCGAGAATGAAAATCCACGGAAACAAACTGCATTTAGGGGGAACTTGAAGAAGAAAAAAATTGAATAAAGCATCAAATTAATTATGAGGACAAAAGTTCTCCACAAAGGAGATAAAATTAATACATATAATCCAGTTGATGATTCTTGTCCACTGTTAGGTCACTGAATTATTGGGAGATTGGATAGCGATTAGACAACTTCAAGACAAAGACTTGTTTGAAAACTTCTTAATTAAAGGCGTTCAAACATTCAATGCAGGCACTAATTGATATAGACTGGCCAAAAGGCTTGCGATGATGAGAGGGGTAAAGGTAGATAAAAAAAGAGTGATATTTGTTATGTACCTTAATTGTGGTTCCGAAATTGATGGTATTGTTTATTAAGGTCTCGTTTGATAAATATTTTATTTTTTTTGTTATTTTTTTGTGTTAAAATATAGGGAAATTGGCGGCTTTACCCTTGGCTCACCTAATTTATTCACTAATATCCTTATTTTAAAACCTAATCACAAATGTCCCTTATAAAAACTCCCTATTGACAGGTTATTACCCATCTTTCACTTTTGTTTACTCTCTCAAATCCTCTTTCACAATTTCTCGATCTCACTCACTCAGCCCTCCTCTCATTGCTTCTATCTCTCTCTCGCTTGCACCCATATCGGTGACAGTCACTGTCACCTCCTCAAAAACCCTAACCCACATCGGTGACGACGACCTTTCCACCTCCATCTCTCACTCTCTGTCACCTCTTTCAACCTACATGCTTAGAGATGGTGTCTCAGGTAGATAGCTTGGCTTTTCTCCTACACATTTGGGTTTTCTTCTCCTTGTTTCAATTACATATATGGGTTTGGATTTTTGGTGCTTGATGTGAGTTCAAGTCCCTTCAAGTCAAATTTGGGTGAGATTAAACAGAAATTTGTTGAAACATAATTGTGGGTTTAATTTATAATTTTATTCTCTTTGTTTACAATTAATATTTTCAACTTGTGTAGAGAATGTTATTTCAATGGGATTATACAAGAACTTTTTGAACCAAAATTTTGAGATTGTGCAACAAATATTTCTCTGTTTGTCTTAAGGAATATTATGCTTGAAGTTTGTCCAATCTACAATGATTTTGAAGATTTTCTTTTGCTTATTGAATTTGATTACTGAGTTAGGTTTTTATTCTTACAAAAAAAACAATTGAAGAAACATAGTTATTTGGTTCAATGGTCTCTTGGTTCAATGATTTGAATTTGTTTGTTCTATTTTGGGATGTGATTTTTGAATGAACTACATAAATTGATTATGTCTTGAGGTGGAGGATATCTCCAAAATTGACTTTGGAGTTTGTAAGTTTTATGATAATGCCAATATTTTAACATAAGTTTGATACTGTAAAGTTGGCATATGTTGGATCTTGGTTTTCTCTATTTTTCGTAATTCAATCTTGAATCTGTTTTTGGTGCAGTCTATAGTCCTCAAGGTTGGTATCATGCCAAGGTTGTGTTGGTGCCTTGAAAAGGGTTCTTGGAAAACTTGAAGGTTTGTTGATAGCTCTTGCATTTATCCAATTCCATTGTCTTGCTATTCTTCTTCTCTGAGACTGTGCTTCTTCAACTGTTTGAACAATGCCAAATGCACTATTGATGATTTCTTGATTTGTATTTTTATTCGCCTGCCAAGACACACATTCACTTCACCCATGTTTATAATAATTTTTATATTGCAATTAAGTAGTACGAAATTGTGTGCATGAATGTGAACTTTAATTTTGCAATGGTACTATCTTGTGAAAGTTTGCTATATGAAGAATTGGGTCATTTAGAACAGCCAACAATCTGTATAAAGATAGGATTCTTGAAGGTCGTCCTTCAATGGAGAAATCACAAATAGATTTCTCAGAGGTATATATAACTCAGCAAATTTCAAGCTCATCTCTTAAATGATGTATATCATAATTTATTTTTCTTTCTTCTATTAAAAAATGTATATCATACTGCAGTTTTATATTTATCCACTCTATTTGTTATAGTGCATGTAAATGTATGTGTATGGTACTTGTAGTGCCTGTAAATATGTATGAACTTGTTTTGGTATTGGTTTCTGAATCTGGTATTGGTTTCTAAATCTGTTTTAGTATTGGTTTTTGTTATGAATTTTGAAATTGGTTTATGTTTTGAAATTGGTTTCAGTTGTGATTGAATATTATGTTTTTGTTTCCATTGTGATTGAATGGTTTGCTTCTAATATGCATTTTTGATCCGTTTTATACAGATGGAAGATTGTCTTGTTTCAAGTGGCAGCATTCTGTTGGAGAGGAAATTGCTAACTTTAAGCTTAAATTCAGTTCTAAGAGGAAATGTCATCGAATTTTGCTAATGTGTTCAAATTCCCAACCAAGAGGAGATGTAAATTTATTTATTTTTTGCCACTTTCTTATGTATATCCTAAGATGTAATGAGATAACATTGTTAGTTCATCAATTTATGAAGGTCAAGTTAGAAGGAAATTTGTCAATCTCTAGTTTCCATGGTTTTATCGTTCCCTTTGCACAGAAGAAAAAAAAATACAAATGTAACCAAATCAGTGATTTAATTGGCAAATGCCATGGCAGATATGTATTGCATATGTATTGCACATGTATAGCCCTTTATTGCTTGTGTATTGCCCCTGTATATCTTTTTTTTTTAAGTCTGTTGGAATAAATTTATAATGGGATTATGAAGTTTTTGTATTACCATTGTATAGCCTTTTATTGCTTGTGTATTGCTATTGTATTGCCCCTGTATATCTTTTTTTTTCAAGTCTGTGTTGGAATAAATTTATGGGGGGGTATGGAGTTTGTGTATTGCCATTGTATAGCCTTTTATTGCTTATGTATTGCCATTGTATAGCCTTTTATTGCTTGTGTATTGCTATTGTATTGCCCCCGTATATTTTTTTTTCAAGTCTGTGTTGGGATAAATTTATAGGGGAGTATGTGTATTGCCATTGTATAGCCCTTTATTGCTTGTATATTGCTAGTGTATTACCTCGTATATCTTTTTTTTTCAAGTCTGTATTGCAGGTATGAAGGTGGGGATGGGGATGAGATGACTACCCATCCCCGATTCGACCCATGAATCAGAAAATTTGAATACACAATATAGGCCCAAAAATGACAGATGTTAACAACAATGTAGCACATAGAATACACAAATACATACCAAATTATGAAAATTTAACATAATTCACAATCCACAGAACACCAAACCTAATACAAATACAATTCAAATTCACACTGCATAATAAACCAACACAATTCATAATGTATGTCCAACATTAGGTAGTGGAACATTGTGCCACTGCACCTTGAGCATTTTCTCCTTATGATATCCTCTCCTTGCGAGAGAACCCTTAACTTCTTTCGTCGACCTGGCATGACATTTGCATTGGGAGGACACACAACTCTACTTTGGACATCTTCAAGAATAACCCACAACTCTTGAGGCTGTACCGGGTATATGGTGTCTGAATAAGCATCCAACCATGTATTTCGAGTGTAATAACGAGAAGCCATGGAGTATACATTTAGTTTCAAGAAACAGCAAACTGCAACTACATGCTTGCAAGGTAGTTGCTCAAGCTGAAACTTCCTACAACTGCAAGTGTTATTCGTCAAATGTACGTGGCCGTCCATATCACCGTTCACGACATTATACTCTACGGGATTCAGTTTCACGACATTCATCCTTGAAGCACATTCCAACCTGCGTCTCAACTTCTTCTCGCCAAAGTCAGGGCACAATGTTGATGTACATTTCAAAGCAAAATCACGACGTTTACTGAACCATTTCACAAGCAAATTGATGATTTCATCAATCAAATGCACCACTGGTAGCTTCCTTGTGAACCGAAGAACTGAGTTGATTGACTCCGCAATATTTGTTGTCATTACATTGTATTGACGTCCATCCATGTGAGCTCTAGACCACTTGTGTAATCCTGCACTTTCAAGATATTGAGCAACCTCATCATTTCCCTTGATCTTGCGAAAATGACGATCAAATTCAGCGATGCCATAAGATTTTGCAGCTTGTTCAAAGTATAGCAATAATTTATCACGTTTTTTCAATTTGAAAGTGTGTTTCATGTTCCCTTTCATATGGTAAAAGCATATGCCATGTTGCACCATTGGAAAAATGTTGTGCCATACATTCTCTATGCTAATATTCCGATCAGAAATAATCACAAGATTTGGACACTCACTAATGACTTTATGAAGCTTACTGAAATACCAATGCCATGATGCATCCGTCTCTAAATCCCCAATTCCAAAAGCAAGAGGATATATATTTCGATTTCTGTCAAATGCATTAGCAACAAAAAGGACACCCTTATACTTATATTTTAAATGCATGGCATCCACAGCAATGACTGGCCGCATCGAAGATTGAAACCCTCTAATACATGCCCCAACAGCCATAAAAAAATACAAAAAGTGATTGTTCTCATCGGTGTGGATGTATGTCCTTGTGCCGAAATTCACACGCTCTAATTCGTGACAATAAGCTGGAAGGATAGAATATGCCTCCTCTACTAAACCTCTAGAGCTAACTTCCTCGATCTCCAAGCTTTGCAATAATTAATGGTGACACCAAAGTTTTGTTTCACATCTTTGATTATATCACTTGGTGTGTATATTGTGCGAGAATCTTTCAACTTCCGCTTCACTGCATTACCAACGAGTTTAGCACTTGCGTGACGATGCTTGTCATGTATAAAACTCATATCACATTCATGAACCGGATTATATTTCACAATCATGAAGTTCTTTTCTCCATAACTAGATGCACGAAGCCGCCATGGGCATGGGCCGTGAGAACAAACCACAACCAATCGACTATTGCAAGATTGCTTCATCTTAAATTCAAAGTGACCTCTCACAACTGCCAGCTGTAACTTGTTGGACAGGGCTTCCTTACTAGAGAAAATTTTCCCAACTTCCAATTTTGGATCCCAATTATTCCGTGAATACGCACTTTCAATATCTTCTTCTTCATCATGTACAATACCCAAATTGTGCACATTTTGTTCAGCCATTTGCCTCCAATTATGTCGAATAGAAAGTTCAGACGTTGTTCCAGAACCCACCACATCCACTTGTGAAAATGTCTCCAAATTGGCCAAAATAGGAGGGGCTAAGTGCATTTGCAAGCCATTTATTTCCGTACCATTATCACCACTATGCATCCCCTCCACCCTTGTAAAATCAATCATGTCTAAATATTCTGTTCCAAAATCACCATATACATCACCATTGCTTTCAACTATGGCATTTTAAGAACAGGCCATCCAACTCATATCCGTCGTGATATGTATATGATCACCTACAACATTTGTCACTCCTCTATCTTCTATGCTCACCAGTAAAGGAGCCACTTTTGAAGGAATTACTTCACAAATGTACTTAATAAAAAATTTAACATCATCATTGTCCTCAATCTTGATATGCTTACACTCATTTGAGGATATTGAAATTGAGAACTTTAAACAAAGCTTGTCTTCCCTGTTGTCTCTATTAACAATCTTATGCACCCGTTCCAAAAGCTCACCAAACGTGATGTTTCGCGAAACTGTTATGCCTTTTGAGTCACCCCCTTCATATGTGCACATCTTCTTTGAGGTTACCCATTTGCCCTTGTAGCAAACCAAAATTGCAATTGTGTCCATTTCTGACCATCATAAAATTTCCTTTTGTTAACACATGTTAAGCTACCAATAAAAAATCTATCAACTAGTGTATAAACCATATAGATAAAACATCAATTAAACATTAATAACCAACAATTTTAAAACATCAGTATTATGCAAAGTGAAACGGTTTAGCTAGCATAGCTGTGTTTCAAGCTCCAGCAAGGAAGGCATGTATTAAGAACTCTTAAAGTTAAATCCAACCCAAAGCCATTAACCTAGGGTATCCTATTACTAACTAACTACTTACAAATTGCCAAACCTTGATTGTCCAAGGTTGTTTCATATCGAATATCATCCAAAAGAGTGAATACATTACTTTTAAGGAGATCTGCAAGTCCAAGTCTCAATCACAAAACAATGTATACATCATTTCAAAGACAAATCATAAGCACAAAACAATGTATCCAAGTCCAAGAGCTTAACAACCACATGAAATATTTGGTAAATTTCATTCATTCACAGAAACAGCAAGCCACAATAGAAACCCATTAATATATCATTCAAAACAGTGAGAGCAATCACCTAATAATCTCAATCAATTAAAAAAACCCATAAATAAATAAATGAACAAAAACAAAACCAATATAAGAACTCACCACAGTGAAGATTGACAAGGAAGGTGTCGTGGCTTTGTGGTGGAAGTCGACAGTGGAGGTGGCAAGTCAAGATTTTGGCTTCGTTGTGGAGGCTGACAACGGAGGTGGCGAGTCGCGCCTTGGCTAGGGTCTGGTCCAAATTTGGGATTCAACTTTGAGGTTGGAATCAGCTAGTAGTTGGAAGATATAACTAAGATGAGATAGAGTTAGGGGAGATTCTATGGTTGAGGTGGATTTTGTGAGGTTTGGTAGAAGGAAGAAGAGGAAGAGGAAGAGAAAGAGCAACAACTGAGAAAAAAAAACAAAGTGAAGGATGGGCAATAGGCTGTCAATAAGGAGTTTTTATAAGGGGCATTTGTGATTGAGTTTCAAAATAAGGATATTAGTGAATAAATTAGGTGAGCCAAGGGTAAAGCTGCCAATTTCCCTAAAATATGAAGGAAAAAGGGGGAGAATGGAAGTGAAGATGATAGTGGAGAAGACATTGAGAGGAACGATGAGAGAGGAGGATGGAAATAAGTAACAAAAGTGGAAACAAAAACTAAAAACTGAAATCTATTTGAAATTGTTTTCACTTTTGTTACCTCCCCCTCCCATCCATCCTCCCCACTCATTTTCTCTTCGATCTCATCCTCACTCTCATTCTCACTCTCATTTTCCTTTATACTCTAGCACAAAAACTTAAAACTAAAAACTAAAAATAAAATGGTTAACAAATGGGCCTTAAGCTTTTTTTTTGGGGGGTCAGTTAACCTATATTCTTGAGTAAAATCAACAATGTCTGGAGATAAGAGTGAAAGACTGAACTGGGCTATTTCAATTAAAACGAACAAAAGTCCTACCCGTTGTTTGGTGTGTTGAAACTCAAGTTGTCAAATTGGACAACCATAAGATATTGTCTTACAAGTGCAACCTGACTCATGGGTATAAACTTTGACTCAACTCCAATCCAATACAAGTTGAGTCACCCAACGATGTCAAAGCCCGACAAGGGCATGTCTAGCAGTGAAACTTAATCGCGAACAGTAGCATCAACGTGAGAAACGCAACAATTAGAGAACAGATGAATACGAGCATATCAACATGTGAAACACCTAACAGTAACTGCACCCTCAAAAGTTCCATTAAATGTCTAGAATTTATGTCCACAGCGAGCCACTTGCCATGCCAACTGGTGGTGCGTCCAAAGACTGAACCTTTAAGGTCCATTACTCAACTTTTAAAGGAAATATTTCCCCAATTTTACAATCCGAAAATTGAAAAGATTACAGGCACAACCTGCAGAGCCTATTTCTTCCGGTTGATGTCCAAATTCATCTCCTGAAGGTTCAACAACAGATCATCTGAGTTCAAGTAAACTTTGTTCGATGAATTTGAGATCGTATGTGCAATCTCTCTTGCAGCTTCAATTTTCCTAAGTGTAATAAATGCCGGATTGTTCGCAATAGCTTCACCAATCAGCTTCGCACTTGTGGCCTCACCCTGATCAACAGGGACAAATGATTTAAGTAAAATGTGTTTAAAAGTGATGTCCATGTTCATACAAAGAATAACTGTGCAACATTGCCATTTTATGTTCATAACATGGAACGAACAGAGATATAATGTAAAGATAGTAATAGGACATATTTGCGCAAAAAAGACTTAAAAAAATTTATTATATAAACAGAGCTTTATGATTTATTTCTAAAGAACATCCATGGAGGACTATGCAATAAAAAATCACTGATGTTGATTCAAGGACAACCATTATATTATGATTTGGAACTCACAAATAAATCCAAAGCAATTCTTAATAGGGAAGCATTTTGAATTTGTAGCTATAAGAGCACTTCCACCCACAAGGGCTAAGTCTAAGGCAAGGGCAAGCAAGGGCTGCAACTATTCACGTGAATACTGTCAGCCTTTGCATTTGTGGTTCCACCCATGAGGGCAAAGTCTAAGGCAAGTCAAGGGCAAGAAAAAAATATATATATGCAACAAAATATAAAATTATTATGTATTTATAGGGAAAGTGAAAAAAATTGTTATGTATTTATAGGGAAAACATCCATAATTTTTTGGTATTTTTTTTTAAAAAAATTGAATTTTTTATAATTTTTTAGATTTTTTTTTGCTCGCTGACGTCAGCATAACATCAGCGCTGACGTCAGCGCCCTCGGGCTGAAGCCCAGGCAAAATCTGCCCTTGGGCTTGCCCGGGCTGGTGGGACCCAGGGCTTGCCCGGGCTGCAAGTGGTGCGCTGGAGCTGCATTGGGCTTGCCAGGGGGGCCTTTTGCCCAGTTTGATAGCAGCGCTGGAGCTGCTCTAAGGCACTGGGTTACATGCACATGGCCTCTCCATGACTTCACTCAGAATATATCCATAAGAACCAACACTTTCAGTTTAATGGCTGGTAACCTTGCAATTAATACAAGATCAGTATATAATAACGGGTAACGGGTTGACACGACACGACCCATTAAGTTAACGGGTGACAAATACTAGACCCAAACACTACCCAATTCACGAATATCCGACACGGCCAGTTAAGAATAAACCAGAAAAAATAAAATAAAACCCTATCACCGAGCCCAGTCAGCAACCCCTTATCTCTGTCCTTTCTCCCCCAATTTCCATCTCATAAACACCATAACAACCACTCAAAAGCCCAACCCACATGGATGGACAGTGAAGAAGTCTTCACTGGTTCTCAACTTTCACATCTAAAGAAAAGAAATTTGGATTCCAAAAAGAGAGAAGGAAATATACTTATGAGAAGGAAACATAGAGAGAAAAGAGAAGGAACTAAAAAAAAATAAAGAAGAAAACTGGGGAAACAGCAAAAAGAAGAAAAATGTGCCAGGGAAAGAAGGAAAAAAGAAGAGGAAAAAGAGAGAGAGAGAAAAGAATAAAAAATAAAGTGAAGACAGAGAGAGGAGTAAAAAACAAAGTGAAGTTGGGTGGGTGTTTTTGTTTTTTTAATATGAATTGTGATACAAAATTACAAAACTACCCACCTTAACGGGTGGATAGCGAATATTCGTGAATGGACCCAACACGACCCGTTAAGCTCAACCCAAATACTGATAATTTCGTGCGAGTTTGTGTCGTGTTAAGAGGTCGTGTGCAACATTGCCAGGTCTAGTATATATTATCGATTTTGAGAATGTGATATAACTGACCTCTGCTCTGATGATAGCACTTTTCTTGTCTTGTTCAGCCTTGTCCACAACAAATTTAGCTCTCTCAGCTTCTTGTGCAGCCACTTGTTTGGCCTCAATTGCAGCAGTGAACTCCTTCCCAAAAGTGAGGGTGGTGATTGACACATCATCCAGCGCAATGTTGAAATTGGCTGCCCTTTCAGTCAAAATCTTTCGTATTTCCCTACTAACAGTCTAAACATAAAATGGACAATCAACACTAACACAACACTTAATCCAGAAACCATATGAGAGTAGATGCACTACGGAAAAAGGGGTATAAAACTTCCAAGTAACCAGATAGGAAAATGAAGAGCATATGCATAAATAGAAAGCAAGGACCAAGAACATGAACAATTTGCATCTTAAACCTACATCATTAGCAATTTCAATAGTGTTTAACTAATATACTAATATACAATAAACTAAACTCATTGAGCGTGAACTGTCAAACACAGGCTATGCTCCCTACCTCTCTCTGCGTAATGAGCTGGCTGGCATTATACTGTGCAACAACAGCTTTCAAAGTTTCATGAACAATAGAAGGAAGGACTCTCTCATTATAATTCTCACCAAGAGTACGATAAACTGTAGGAAGCTGGTCTGGTACAGGACGAGTAAGAACTCGAAGCCCAATTTTCACCTGCACAGCAAAATGAGAAAACAAAAGATAACATTCAGGATCGCAACTATGGACAATATAAGCTGAAACCACTGAATTACCTCTAAAATTAAACCTAGTTGCTAAATTTTTTTTCTGATGATTGCGCGTTTGGAACATAGGATGCAAGTTTAAATGCTAAAAGATGAATACTGGTAAAATTCAAATTTGGGTTTCCCCATAAAATGAGGAGAAACATTCTAAAGTACTTCGTTTGAAGCAACAAGAAAAGTTAGCGCTACACATCACATATATAAAAGGGGGTAGAGATTTGGTTTATAGGAAAGGAAGTGGAAAATGACTGAACAGAAAAGTAAAAACTATATGCCAGCATACACCTAAATAAATCTCAAAGGTTTGCTTTCAACTCACGATTTTAATCCATAACTATATGCGACATTTAATTTAAGGTTAGAAATTTGAACTGATATCGAAAACCAACAATGAAAATATAAGAATTAAACAGAATACTGATTGTCCTCTAAAATTTGATTGTCCAACTGACTGTCCTCTAAACTTTGAACTTGCATTGAATCTTCTGAATTCTGATGGGAATGAACAAATTTAACATATTCCACTTTTGAAAAGCAAGAGTAGAAGAATAAACAATTCATCGGCAAAATTTTGTGCTCCCCAAATCCCAAACAAGATAAACCTGCAAATTTGCATAGCTAAATGAAATATAACTACAAATGAGTTGTAAGTTACCCTAAGACAGGAGAAAAATCAAAACATGATAAGTACAGTAACAATGTATAATATACTTTTCTATTACACAACAGTTATTATGGCAGTTGCTTGAGATCACCTGTCACTGAAACTGCGATGCAATGAGTAACATGCGTTCCCAATATTCCATCACATTAAACATGCGCAACCAAAGAATTAAAAGAATTATTTAAGCATATATTACAAACCATGACGTTGTCATTATTTCATGTAACAGTAAGAAAAAGAAAATGTATCAACCATTTGGAGATCGCGACTGCCAGAAGTACTCTCCACCAGATGAGGTCGTGCACGGACATCATAAATGACTGGCCTCTCAAACCAGGGAATGATAAGATGTGTCCCCTCTGGGTAAACCTGCACATGCAACATTAGTGTACAATATTATATAACAGACCGTAAAACAGAGGGCAAAAGCAAACAGATTTTGCAACAGATTGATAATGAAGTACAGATTTAATTTGAGATCTAAAATATGTTCAACATGTACACAGTAAGTGTACAAGCTGTTAGATTCATCTTTCACTTGGAAAAATTAAGCACATGACTTGGTAGACACCCCTTTAACTTTATAAATTGCGTGGCAAACTCCATTCATTGAAAAACTCTCTTAATAAAGGATACCACCATCCTAGAAAGTTTCTCGTATCTGTTAAATGATTTTTACATGAGATATCTCTGAAATATGTGTCATCCTCACTGGTGGATCTGTTCTGTTATTATCGATAGGATTGCTACTCATGTTGGATCCATCTCAATAATAGACAACATAAAACCACATATAAATAGAGTTACTAAAGGGATATTATGGAGATTTAAAACAGACATCTTTAAAATGAATAAACCCACAAAATTAATAATAAAAAAATTACATGATGGATCATGAAACAAGAAATGCAGATAAGAAAGTTTCATTCTATATAATTAATAATTGTTTAGAACTATAACCTTGTCTTTGACACCAATTATACGGTTGAACACAATGGCTCTATGCCCTCCCTCGACATTGTATATACTGTTGGCAACTCCATACAAGCCAAGCCCACCAATTATTCCCACCTTAAGCAAAGCAGAAACTGCACCACCGCCTGGCACTTTGGGAACCTTGACGTTGTTGAAATTCATATTCCTCCTTGCTGAGAACATGTAAAGAAACAATATGGTAAACGCAAATGTACCACGAACCAAGCAAATTAAACAAAATATTTAGTCATGAGCGCCACATTCTAAGCCTAAAGTGCAGCTGCAAACTAGACAGAGCAATGTGAATCTGGAAAGAACTGCAAATAAGGGAGCAATTGCTTATTAGGCAACTAATGAATTTCTAGAGGTTTGCTAAATGGACAAAGAAGAGAATCTGAAAACTTACTAACTCCTCTCACTAGAAAACAGTTCCAATTAGGGCTGTGTTTCGGCCGGAACGGACCAGACACAAGTGTTCTGAATTCCGTTTCGGAATTGATTTTCAGTCCCGATTCCGATTTCCAAAATTTTGGAATATAATAAAATCCATTCTGATGCAGAATTTTCGGAAGTAAATTATTTTCAGAATTTTTGGATATAATTTCGGAATATCATATTCTCTTAGCCAAACAAAAAATTCAATCTTTTTCAGAAAATCAAAACAACCAAGAAACTGAAATTCAATGTCTCAGCCATAAGAAACAGCAAAACTATAAAACAAGGGCTCAAAATATAAACAAGAAATCGTCCAAAAATAACCAAACACAACCAGAATTACAATTTTTGTTTAAAAAAAACCCTATTCTCAGCAACCAGGCAGAAAATGTAGACCAAATAATATAAAAACATAAAATTTGTTCCCATACCCTTTTCTCAGCTACCAAACAGAACGTTAGACAAAAATATATAATGAAAGGAGAGATGTGGTGGTGGTGGGTACCAGTGGAGGCGATAGATCTTTGGGGCAGAGGAGAAAGAAATAGAGAAGATTTCTAGGTCTGAATGTTGGGGTTTAAATGGAGATTTTGGATGGCAGCGGCGCCGAACAGAGAGAAAGAGATAGCAGGAGAGAGAGTTTAGAGCTCAGAGCTCAGAGCAAAAGAAACAGGCAGAGAAAGATGTTGTTAGTAGATGAAGGCAGTGAAGGCGGCGCGGCGCCAATAAGGAATTTTCCATGAAAAGCTCAACAAAACAACCAGCAAACACCAAAACCCAAGAACTGGTTTTGCAGAATCGCAGGAATGACAGCAAACCAACCAAAAAGCAAAACAAAGAATCGGAGATCGCAGAACCGCGGCGGGTACCTTAGCAATAGGTCTGCCGACAATGAACGAAGGACGCAGCGATCAGAGCGAAACCGGAGATTTAGCGGACCCAATTTGCAGGCCCCAGCGGTACAAGGGTTTAGGGTTTACACGTTGCGAGCGAAAACGCGAAATGTTTCGGCCTTTGGGACATATAAAGGACCAAGAGTATGGGCCAAGTTCTACCATTGTTTAGAGTGACTTATTAACGGACCCAATTTTTTAGGCCTCTAATCATTTTTATTTTTTGGTCTGAACCTCTTACAGCACTTCCACCAGTTAGCCCCTTGTCATGGAAAGGGGAGCCCTAGGGCAGCTACTCTAGCCCCCTCAAGCAAAGTGTGTTTCCGGCAGTTTAGGCTTGACACGGCAAATACTATTCATTTTTTTGTTTTTTTTTTTCACAACTTTGTTTACTTAAACATTTGATTTAGATAATATTTTCGGATAAGATTTTTGGGTTCCTACATGTCAATACTATTTATATCGGATAAGATTTTTGGTTTCAAATTTCATATAAATTTCAAAATTCAAATTTCAGATAAATCAATACAACTAATAAAATAAAATACATGAATGAGCACTAATTATTAAAACAAAACAAAAAAATACAATGAAATGAAAGGCAAGCAAACTAAGAAATGAAAGGCAAGATTTTATTTTATCGGATAATATTTTCGAATAAGATTTTATTTTATTAGTTGTATTGGTTGGTATTTATAGAAAAAAAAAGTATGAGGATTTATTGTTAAAAGTGAAGAGTATTGGTTGGTATTTATACACTGGCGGACCCGGAATTTTTTTAGCGGATGTGCAATATTGACTAAGTATGAAAAATGGTTTTTCGGAATAATCATTTCCTCAAGATAATTTTTGGCGGCTTTTATTCCTTACACATCAAATAAGAAAACTTGATTTTATGGGATTTTAATATGAAGTATATATTGACTTAATGAGCCATCATTTTTAGCCTAAATCGTATTTTGCACTAAAACCGATTTTTCATATTTTGATTTAGTGAGAATTTGATTTTCTAGTATTTTTATTTGAATCCAAATGGGGGGTACTTCCTTATTTACATTGTAAACTTAAGTAAATTGAGCAATATAAAAATAAATAAAAGTAAAAGGACAAAGACATTTACTTAAATGTTGAAAATGGAAATATGGTATAGAGAGGAAAAAAAAAAGTAATTTTTTGGTATTTTTTCGGATTTTTTTTCAATTTTTTATTACAAAAATATTGGCTGCCATTGGATTGGAGCAAAAATTATGATTGGAGAGCCCAGAAGGAGCCACGTGGAAGAGAGCCATTGGGGGGGCAGTTTCGATTTTCTTTTTCGGGAAAAAATGACTGCCGTTGGATTTCTGGAAAAAGTGGATCGGATAGCCCAGAAGAAGCCACATGGAAGAGAGCCGTTGGGGGCACGGGCCAACCTCCCCCTCGGGCCAGCCCAGGTTGCTGGGCCCCACTCCCTTGCCCTGTTGTAGATCTTTGTTGCTGGAAACCCTTTGGTTTTTCCCTTCCCCCCCCCCCCCCCCCCCCCCCCCCCCCCCCCTCCCTGGGCCCCTTGCTGGAAATGCTCTTATCATTTTCTTGAATTGCTTTTTTTGTTGCTGTTACTTTTAAAAAAAAGTTGTTTCTGCTCTACTTTAAAAATAATTAGTTATAAAGTAAAGTAACTTCATGTTTGGTAAACAATATTTTAAAGTGTTATTAATACAAAAAGCAGTGTAAATTTTAATATAAAACTGTTGTAATTATGAATAATGACTAAAATAGACATGATATTGAAAGTGTTACGCTCTAATCATGTGGTGGTAATAGTGGTGATGGAGAAGGTGGTGGTAAAAGAGGGCATATCGAAGCCCAATGCCCACATGACCAAATACCAATCCTTATGGAACTTGAACATAGAACTGCAAAAAAAGACCAACTTACAAAGGCACGATGCATAACTCAAAAGTTCCTTGACTGACGTTCAGTTATTTCTATGACAAGCCTTTAATTATATCTGAGTGCTCAAACAAAGAGATTATAAATGTTGGTTCAGCAAGATAACAATATAACTATGATAGTGTTCCCTTGTTTTGGACTAGAAGTTTGTTTGAGAAAACCATAAAATAAAAAATAAAAAAAATACTTAAGTGATGCTTATGTGGGGGTCTGTTTGGTTTGGTAACCAAACCGAACTCTCAAAACTGATGACCGACCTACATTTGTCGACATGGGTATTTCGGAACCGCAACTGAAATCGGATGTTTTCAGTTTACAAATGAAAAATTATGCATTATACCCATTGGATATTGGATCTTCCAGAACAATTCATGCTCCTGCTACCAAATCAGTTTTAGATCCATCAAAATATAATTTCCATGGAAATAGATGGATAGAATAGATTGGATTCTTAAAATAGATATGAGCTCTATTCAATAAGTCCACATTGTCAATCTCCAAAGTATCCAGACCTTTAATTTCCTCTCCTTTTGAGGTACATAATGGAAAGCAAATTCTGACAGAGCTAAAGTCCATTTGCCAATTCTACCTCTCAACATTAGTCTAGTCAATATATATTTGATCAAATCTATCTTGGCAATTATATAGATGGTGAAAGGTAGCATATAATGCATGAGCTTGACAGTAGCAAAAAACAAGGCCAAACATAACCTATTGTTGAGGCCCAAAAAAGTCACAGGAAGCCCAAAGACATTTAAAGCCCAAAATAACATATAATGTCGGTCATGCATTAATTCAAGCTGTATTTTGGGATTTAATTCATTAAATAAATATAGAAATAGCGTACATGCCATGCCAAACTAATAATATATTTTTCCCATGCCGATCACCTATCAAGCTCACATGAACCCAAGTCATGTGGTTTACGGGGCTTGCATGAGGGATTGTGGTGTGGAAGGTTACGGAGGTCTACAAGGCCTAATGGAGACTTTGGGCTAGCTACTTGGGAGCACCAAAGTCCAAGCCCATTACTTAGAGTTCTCCAATGTGGGTAAGCAAATGAGATATTTTTCAAGCACTTCCTTTTACCCATAGGAAATAGTCATTTTCTAAATACCTAGCTTTACCCACTGGAAACAAGCAGTTTACAGTACTTCCTTTTACCCATAGGAAATAATCAGTTTATGGTACCTAGCTTTACATGCTAGAAAATAGTATGCCCCAGTGCTCCCTTTTAACCACTGAAAATATGTTGGTTCCAGCACCTTCCTTTACCTATTGGAATAAAGGAAAACCTTCACCCTCTATAAATTGGCATTCATGGCTCAAGCAAAAGGCACAAATTTTTCTTCAACCAATACTCCCTCACTCGACTACTGCAAGCATCCCAGCAGCCATCAACCCCCTTTAGCAACCACCAGACTACTTTCCTTCCTCCATTCAGTTGCTGCAAGCATTCCAACGACTATCCCAACCATTCCTACTCAATCTACTGGAAATCTACTCAAGCCACCCATCTCTTATCTCTCTCTCTCTCTCTCTCAAAAAAGCTCCATCCCGTATATGAAACACCTAACCTCTCATGCCTAGTCTAGTAGTGTCTCAATTCACAAAGCAAACTCTCATGCCAAGTCTGTGTAACATTAATGCGCCATCTTCAAATCTTCATCAAGTTGCCGGAAATATTAGTACAAAATATGCAGCCGCTGGAAGAAGAACAGAGTACTCCCCTAGGACTTGCTTCTCCCTCGGGATGCTTTGAGCCTAGTTCTCGCTAACTCAGACAAAGGGGCAACAAAGGCTTCATTCATCACTCTATGGCGATCCAAGAATCAACAAGACCGGACGAGCCTTCGAACGAAAAAGACCCCCACACCTATCAATTGTTGAATATCTTCTCTCCACTTCTATCAGAGTTCTACT